CCTGGCGGCGGGCTCCGGCTCTTCCCCGGCTGCTGCTGCTGCTGCTGCTGCTGCTGCTGGTGGTGGTGGTGGTTGTTGCTGAAACCATCTGGAGGGCACTGGCCGTTCCGCACCGTGGCATCCACAACAGTCGGCTCCGGGACAGGGCAGGACTCCTGAGTCTCCAGGTCTGTCATTGCTGCTGTAGTTCAATATTCTTCTTGATTGTTTTTTTGTTTGTTTGTTTTTTCAGATGATGGTGGTGATGGTGGAGGGAGAGAAAAAAAAAGAGAGAGACAAATAATAAACAAGAATAAGATTCACACGGGTTCCCTCAGTGCAGCAGCCATCCAGCTCCAGTGTCGACTCACAGTTGCGCAGGAAGGAAAAAAAAAAGAAAGATTGGAGATGGCGATAAGAGAAGATGGGGCAGTGGGTTTATCTCCCGGGCATCAGGGAAAAAAACCAAACAAATACCGCGGTGCGAAGTCAACACCGTCGGGGATGAGCGCTTGTGCCGCCGGGATGGAAACACCCTGAGCTTCTATATAAGCCCGTCAGAGACACTTGGGGTTCACATGAAGCCGCGCGGTAAATTGCTGAGATCTGCTGTGGATCTGGCGGGCGGCGCCAGCAAGTTTTTTTTTTTTTTTTCCCTCTTCCTCCTCCTCTTCCTCCTCCTCCTCCTCCTGTATCCATCCCTCCTCCTCCTCCTCCTCCTCCCCTCCTGCAACACTGTTTGCCCTCAAGGTCTAAAAATATTCAAACTTGGCCCGAGCTGACGTTAAGTTTGAAGTTGGTTTTTTGTCACGTGATCAGTTCGACAGTGCGACGTAAACACGAGTCGTTCCTCGGGCTGCGACACATTCAAACCACAGTACAGTCTAAACATCCAAGGCTCCACATTCACTGTGTTTATCATTAAAGTACAGAGGAATTTATATAGATATAAATCACAGGGTGGATGTTACTGTTATTCATTCCATCATTTGGAAAAATATGTCAATATGCAGATTTATATTTTGAGTCAATGTGAATCAGAAATTACAAATATTATTAAAAAACCAAATTCAGTCACACACTGAACAAGAGATTTGGCAACAGAAAAACAGCAGAAAAAATCTTCAGCTGTTCAAATGCCCCAAAGTCCAGTTGTAGCAATAAGTTCAGTGGTGATATATATATATATATATATATATTTAATAATAATAAATGACATCATTGACCACAACAGAGTGGCCCGGGCTGGGCA